TCTGATGTAGATAACCTGTGCAAGTAACTCCCGTTCTGAACTGAGATCAGTCTGTACATCACAAAAACCAGTTTGTTACAGTCATCTCTTCCCACTAATTTCCCCTTTTCAGGGAAAAAATTGCACAACTCATCCAGCTTCAGGAAAAGTAAGGAAACAGACTGGCAGGGGACCAGAAGGAAATGGCCCTCACTTCTACTGACCTTGTCTTCAAAGCCATTGTCTGTAGCACGTGTGGGCGGCTTCCCGGGGTACCGGTACACAATGAAGTCTCGCCTAGGTAAGCAGAGGGAAAACAAAGCTTGCAAGAGCACACTGTCAGTAAAGCCATGTCATGAAGAAGTTTCCAGGGATCAGTTTAGAGCTGTTGGTTTACAGAAAAATCAAGCAAAGCACTTTCCCTGATAAACGAATGCTACCATAAAGCAATAGCCACATGAGCAAACCTATCTTGAGGAAAAAACAAAAATTAGCTGTGAAAGACCACGATCTGCGTTTACTCACAGATTAAGTCAAGCACTCATACTTACAGAAGGGTGCTCAGACACTGAGACTATTCACTCTAAGTGATTTAGGCACCCTGCAAAAGGACTAGAACCTCAGTGCTGGGAGCCAGTAATTCCTGCCGAGCTTCAGTCATTCTTTTAGTACTGGGACAATGAGCCTGCAAAAGGAGGCTTCTATTTCCCACCACTAGAGAGCCAGACTGCTTTTTACAGATAGCAGCATTTGATTAGCTTAATTCAGCAAGACAGCAGCACCTGCACAGTTCTGTGTTACCTCTGAAATAAATAGCAGTGTTCACACACCAGGTGTGTGTGAACAGCTTCTGGAACTTTCAAGAACGCCTACATGAGTTTTAGTCATGCTTGTAACTACCACACAGTGTTTCCACTGCACACAGCTCCTTAGTTTTCCCCATTTTCCAGTCTTCAGCCACTAGAAGCAAACACTTGACATTCAAGTTTAATATCAGCAAAAAGACAACAAGCAAGCATCTCTGGAAACTGACCCTGCCCTTAATCCCCACTGGAATAGGGGCTGTGATGGCACCATTTACATCTCAGTTAATTAAGTTTTAGAGAAACATTTCTCATCCCGTTTCACACATTCACCTCTCAGTGGCAAACACACAGAAAGTTCTGGGGCCAGAACCCTCACACCAAGGGCAAAACAAAGTAAACCTTAAGAAGGAGGTACTTACTTGTACATCATTGATAAAGCACTTATTTCCAGCTGGCCAGCACTTTCCTATGCAATATTAGGAGATTATGTGAGATAGCAGAAGAATCTAAACATCAACAACTATATGCTACATTTCTGTGGTACTAAAATCCTGTACTATTAAAATACCTGTTCAAAATCATCAGTTTGTTAAAGCAGTAATGCACTGAAAGTTGAGATATAAGGACATGGGGGAGAGTGAGGTAAAAGGAGTCTGCTACAGGGGTGGCCACAATTACCAAAATTTGTAAGACTGAGTTGCTGTAGAGCTGCTCCAACACATCACTTTAAATACTTTTTTTTAAATCCACATTTGTTTCAGAAACTGCTGCATTCACCAAGGTTACTGGTCAAAGAATAAAGAAATAAAACTCTGAACACTAAAGGAAGAAGCAGGGGATTGTAAATCCTGACAGAAATTTCATTTAAGGCACGCTCCACATATTTTGCTTTTTTTCTTCTTGAAGAGCTACAGTTATGAATAAGTTTTTTACTGTCCACCCTGCAGAGACTGCTCCTTTGGACCCATGCAAATTCCCTACTAAAACTGGTATTGTTTATACATGTACACTTTATTTACATTTATCAGTACAAACCCCAAGTGTTACTTACGCAATTGATTCCCCAAGATTTGGGTCTATCTAAAAAAACCCCACAAACTCAAATAACCACATTTTTAAATAACTACCTAAACCCCTTACTGTTCTAGTCTCTTCAAATTTAAATCTCTTAATAAGTCTTAGATCAGGCTTACCTTTGGATCTCCTAGTCGTTCTAGGTATTTCTCAAACGAACCTTCCACATACTTTTGACAAAACAAAGAAGAAAACAGATATAAAAACTTTGGCAGTTAGAAAGCAAAAATTAAATCTAAAGACTACTTAACAGCTACCAGCTGTTGATTTGGAGGGGGCAAAGCATGCAGAACATAAGAATGATTGGGGGTATCAATGAATACCAAGAAATCCTGAAAAAATGTTAAGGATATGAGTCCAAGTAATATTCAAGTCCCTCCAAGATAAGATGAAGCAATTAAATGTGATTACAGGGAAAACAAAGAAAAATCCCAAAACACATCAAAACCCTACAATACCACACCACACACACAAACTGCCACAGACAAAACCAGCCAAAAACCACACCTCAAAACTCCACAACTTTACATAATTATTCCAGAATTTCCCAGCATCTTTGGTTATTAATTTCTTGCTCCAAAAACCTACACATTTCCCACCTACTAAATTCTGCAATGGTCACCCCACAGAGAATATACTACACAAATAACTTGCCCCACTCACTACTTAGGTTTTAGTAACGTGTTTCCAGAATCTCAGAACCAAAGTCAAAACTTGTGCAACTGCAACTCAGCACAAGGAAGCAGCCTTCAGCCTCTTCTCCTGTCTTTCAAGCAGCAAGCGTGACAAACCATCCTGCTCTCGGTGCCAAACCACCGACCCCCTCCCACAGCACCTCCCAAGTGCACGCACCCGGCTTAGACACAGAACACACGGCACTTACGGATTCAAACCTCGACTGGTGCTGCCTCATAAACGAGACACAAGCTTTCCTAACTTCTGCGTGATGAATTTGAGATGAAAATAGCTGGAAAAATAACGGTAATAAAGGAGAAAACGTCAAGAGTTTGACTTGCGCCTCGCGTTAGGCATGAACTCTCCAGTCTAACGCCACCACAGCAGGAGGCGGTGCAGAGGCTGGGGACACCTGGGGACACCTGAGGGGAGCCCAAGCGCCAGAACCGGTCGCAACCATCCCCACACACGTTCCCAGCCATTCCCACCCAACCCCGCTACCGCCACCTCGCTCTGGTGACCCGCCCGGGTCTCCAGGAGCTCTCCGGGGGCAGCCCCGGCCCGCCCCGGGCCTGAGGCGCCCCGGCTGCCCCCAGCCCGGCCGGCTGCGCACCTGCTCCGAGACGGCTCGGAAGAGGCAGGAGGCGTCCTTGGCCGTCATCTTGCGGTACAGCCCTAGGCTGCCCAGGTACTCGTCCATGGCCACCTCGCTGAAGGACTTCTGCCCGAAGTACTTTTTGGAGCCTTTGTGCATCTTCCCGGCCGGGGCGGCTGAGGCAGGCGCGGAGACGCGGGCGAGGCGCGAGGCGCCGGGCGCGCGGCCGCGGCTAATGAGGCGCCGCTAATGAGGCACCGCGCCCACCTGCGGGACGGGACGGGACAGCCCGGCCCCGGCCCCGGCCCCTCGGATCCCGCTGGAGCTGCCCCCGCGGGGGCCATTTTAGGTTGTTTCAGGACAGTTTTTAGAGTGCCCGGCTCCCGGAGTGGGTGCGCATCCCAAGCCGCGGGAAGCGGCTCGTCCCGCACCTGCCTTGGCTAAGCTCGCTCCTTCAACTTCATCGCTCGGCTGCGGAGAACCAGCGAGAACATCGCTCCGATGGTTATCCAGGATTCCCTCTGTGCTCCCGGGCTGGAGGCGAGTTGCTAGCAGTGGGTTGGAAATAACTCCATAGAAATTGTTAAGGGAATGAAAAATGTTAGTGGCTCCTAATCAAGTATTTGGGGCAAACTTTGGGGGATTGGCGAAACTGAGCCTTGCACAGCTGTGCGGCCTGATTTATTCCACCTGTAGCCCTTTGTGCTTGATTTGAATGCTTCTGTGTACATTTAACTTCCTCGTGAAAAGTGTACTTCGACATCAGATGGGCCAATTCAGGAGTTTTATTTTCTTGTTTTAAAAAACAAAAGCAACACCGCCTCCTCCCCCCGCCAAGAATGCTGTCCTTGTAGGAAGGGCAGTTAGCACCAGTTATGCACTTCTGGAGTTCTACAGCATTAGAAGCCCTTGAACATTTTAAAGTTTAAGTCCCCTTTGGTTTTCAAAATATTTACTTGAAGAAATTGATGTAACACATCATTGTCAAATTCAATACTCTAAATGGGAAGCTGTGATCAGCATCAAAGAATCGCAGAATGGCTTGGGTTTGCAGGCACCCTGAAGTTCATCCAGTTTCAACCCCCCTGCCACGGGCAGGGACATCTTCTAATATTCCAGGTTGCTTCAAGCCCCAGTGTCCAGCTGGCCTTGGGCACTTCCAGGGATCCAGGGGCAGCCACAGCTGCTTGGGAACCTGTGCCAGGGCCTGCCCACCCTCACAGGGGAGAATTTCTTCCTTACATATAATCTAAATAGGAAACACTGGGTGTGCAGAGGTTCAAACTGATGGGTTGTGATGGGGTAACACCATGCAAAAGGAATGATTGTCTTGCCAAGCCCATTCCTGTCCTGTGTTTTGTGGGTCAATCACCCAAACAAAGGGCCGCAGTTTGGCAGCAGGTTTGCAGCTTGTGACTTTTTTTCACCCGGTTTCACCACATGCCTTTATCCCTTTTGAGGCTTAAATATCTCAGTTTTAAGCTCTCTTTTCAGTGCTTCTGTAAACACATGACTCAAGAGCTGAAGGCATCTGCAGAACATCACAGGAACATCAAAAAAGACAATTTATTTCCACCTGTACTTGGCAAAAAAGGTCAAGAGACGACAGTGCATATGCCATGCCTGTAAAGTAGTTTAGCTTGTCCTCATCACTGGAATTACCATCCCAGTGCAGCTTTTATGATAGAAATATGTCTGTCCATGCCACTAGACAGTTCATACTCCCTCCTTATTGGCATTGTACTCTTTTATGCATAAAGCTGAATGAGTTTGACACTAAATTGGAAGCCATTTAATATCAGTTAATATTAAATGGTATTTTCTTTGAGTGTTTGGCCCAGTTGCAGATCTTAAGTGGAGCAGATGAGGCATTTTATTCCAACCTTTTTATTTCTGTTTTGTTTATTGTAACCCAAAAACTGTATCCAAGAATGAAGCAAACTTTTCTGGCTGTCCAGGAGGAAAAGGTTTCAAAGCTGACAAGTCCATCGACTGCAGTGTCTCCACAAGAGTGCTGTAAAAACACACCAAAAGCAAAAATTAAAGAAGAAAAATTCCTATGGGGTGGCTCTTTTTTATACAGTTTTCTTTCTATGCATCCATATGTAATTCTTTAGCATGGAAATATTAAATAAGGATATGTATGGAAAGGAAGAGAAATCCCAGAGCAGCAGGCCCCAGACAGCTCTGGCTTGTAGGCAGCATTGCTGAGAACAACTTCCACCAGCTTTCAGAGACAAACTCAACTTTTAAACTTTTTTATCTTCTGTGGCTGCAGTGCTGGGAGACTGAACAAGATCTGAGGCTCTGCTCCATAAACCATAGGAGGAAATCCATCCTATTTGAACACATGGCAGAGTTCTCCCCTGATCAGAGCCAGAAAGAACAGCTACATCAATCTGTTACTTGCTATTATCAGGCTGCAAATAAAGCTGAAATGCTTGGCACTGCCCAACACTAAGAAATAAAAATTCCAAAGCTGACAGAAGCACCAAGATAATGAGTTTAAGAAACTTGCTCAATTTAAATGCCAGGCCTGGTCTGTTCAGAAAGCTCTTCTGAAACATATGAAACTCTGCTTGCAAGGCAAAGGAACAAGATGCAGACTAAGTAATGGGAGTTACATTTTTTTCTGCCTTCAGTTTAAAAGTAATCTGTTATTTTTAGACTGGAGTCAATCACAAGTAAGGAGCAAATAGTAAGATACAGTCAAAACCAGGAGAAGAAATGAACCCAAGAGGAGTCAGGATGAATTCTAAAAAAGTGATTTTTTTTTCATGTGTTGTTTGCTTCTGGGATGGGGTTCTTTTTCTTGTGTTTTTGTTTGGTTTGGGTTTTTCTCCTGAAGTGACAAGCAGTAGATCTGTACCACTCCTTGTCAGAGTGTATGATGGATTCAGGAAGTTTGGTTAAAAGGGCAGCCTGAATGAGTATTTGAAAGAACAGGGGTACTTAAAATTACTAACCAGATAATATCTGCTTTATTAATCCCCTGAATCCAAGTGTTTTTCTTTTTAAAATCTAAATACATGTACCCTCAAATGGAAAAAAATAATTAGAAGAGGTTGTGATCAAAAGGCTTGGTAAGTGTGGTCAATTACTACCTAGTGTTATTCTATTCACTCTGGAAAATGTAGTATCCAGATGGAGATTACAGAGAAGGATGTACAGTCCTCGTTACAGTCTCAGTTCTGCAGTCACATGGACTGAATGCTCTTGCCCAGCAGGAACAGCTGCAGCAGCTCCATACCTGCAGTTACAGTAGAGGACATAGCCACCTCTGTGGAGCTGTTTGGCCAGCTCAAGCTGATGGTTGTCCATCAGCTTGTCATTTATTACTACTATTAGTGGTTTTCCTTTCTCTAGAGTCTCCAGGCAGCTACCAGCACCTACGAGAGAAACAAAAAACATGGTGAGAGATGAAATATCCCCCTACTTGCTGCTGAAACAGGGGATCCTCTTGAACAACCCCGCTTTAGCTGTGCACCTCAGCATTCCCAGCCAGCCCACCCCTGCCCGGAGAGACTCCATCCCACCGAGCTCCCGCAGCCCCAGGAAGCAGCCGGGCTGTACCTGCGTGGCTGATGACCAGGTCTGCGCTCTGCAGCTCCTCAGCCAGCGAGTCCTTGAAGCGGAACGCTTCCACCGCCACGGCCGGGCTGCTGCTGGGCTGCGGCTGCGGCAGCGAGCCCCGGCCCACCTGCAGCACCAGCTTCTGGTACCCGCGGCTCTGCAGCGCCTGCGGGGCACGGGACGGGTGAATGCGGGGGACAACGGGGGGATAACGCCGTGGGGGGGAATGTTGGAGAGATGCAGGGTGGGGGGATGAATAGAGAGCTGGAGAGGAATGGGATGACGGGGAGGGATGATGGGGGTGGAATGAAGGGCATGAGGCGGGGATAGAGAGGGTGTGTGAGGGGTGTGCCCAGCTCCCGACTACCCCGGCCGCGATACCGCTGCCCCCTCCCCGTCCCTCCCTTTCCTCCACCAACACTTCACGCTTCTCCCCCGGGAACGCCCGAAACGCCCCGGCGCCCTCAGGCACCCCGGCACGGCAGCCGGGACGCGGCAGGGAGGGCGGGGCAGCTCGTGGCGCGCAGGCGCCAGCCCCGGGAAGGCAGGCCTGGCCCGGGGCCGGTGTCGGTGTGTCGGCCGGCTGACCTGCAGCGCGGGCGGGGAGCGGGCGGTGGCGATCAGCTCGTCGAAGCTGGTGGTGCCCACGGTGACGAACACGGACTTCATGGCCGCCGGGCGGGACGGGCCGGCCGCGGGGCCGCCAGGGGGCGCCGCGCGCCCGCGCACAGCTCCCGAAATGGCGGCCGGGCTGAGGGGAGGGACGGGGCGGGTGGGAACGCCCCCTTCCCTCACGGGCCCGGCCCTCCCTGTCACTTCCTGTCCCCTACCCTGGCTTCTCTTCACGGGTTTTTTCCCGTTCGGCCGTTTCGGCGAGGCTGGTGCCGCTGCGACGTGGAGTTCTCCCCCACGGTGCCACACCGGCCGGGATGGTGGCCGCTCTAACGAGGCCGCTGTTCGGCAGCGTTTAAGGGCTGTTTCAGGTCTTTAGGCTTTAAAGGAGAAGAGGGAAAATTTAATTTGGAAAAGGGATTCTGAAAGTTTTGGCCTGCACGTGTTATCTATTGGGGACCCACATAACTCGCGGACAGCCTGTCTGGGTGTGTTCAGAAGTGCCATTGCCAGAGTAGGTCCACAGCCACCTTCCCTTTACAGACTGATACTGGCCCAAGCCTCCCACAATACTTACTGGGGGAAGAACACTTTAACTTCTACCCCAAAATCATGAGTATTAAATGTGTTAACACAGTTATGAATATTAAATGTGTTAAATGTGTTCACTGAAGAGTAAGAATGACCCCTGAACAGTTGCACAAACAGAGCTGGCAGTTTTGTTTCTTAATAGTAAGTGTAACACAATGCACAATTTGCTACAAAGATAAACCAAAGTTAGACATCTAAATCTGTTTATTTCCTGAATTAAATTCAACAGATGAGGTCACAACTGTATGCACAGTTGTGTCTACATGGTGTTTGAAGAAGGATGCGGCTGTCTTGAGGAAACCTCTGATTGCCATGTTAATGCCTTGTTCACAATGCTCATTAGCCCCCTGTTGTTTTCATTTAGCATAATGAGCCACGTTGAAATGTATTTATTTTTTTATTAAAGCAAGTAGTGCTGACAGCAGACATTGTCTGGGGGGAAAATGCAGTAGAACAAAACATTAATGGTGTCCTGTGTGCACAGGGACTTAGTGGCTCTGCCCAGCCTCATGCAGCTCTTGCTGTTGTACCTCAGGAAAAGGAATCTGGGAACTGAGGATGGTCACAACACCAGCCAGGTAAAGACATCACCAACAGGGCATGGTCCAGTGACATGTCCAAGGACATGGACACAATGTCAGCCCAGGAAATGCAAACAGCAGTTCAGGAATAGAATTAGCAGCAAAGACACCCACAAGTCACCTCTGTCATCGCAGCATGAGCAGGACATGGTTAGGTAGGTTCAGAGGAGGGCCACAAAGAGGCTCAGGGGCTGGAATACCTCTGCTGGGGAGACAGACTGGGAGAGCTCAGTGTTCAGCCTGGAGAAGAGAAGGCTCCAGGGAGACCTTCGAATCCCTTCCAGTGCTTAAAGGGGCTCCAGGAGAGAGCTGGAGGGACTTTGGACAGGGGCCTGGAGTGACAGGACACAGGAGAATGGCTTTAAACTGAAAAAGGGCAGATTTAGATTGGATATTGAGAATTAATTCTTTCCTGTGAGAGAGGTGAGGCCCTGGCACAGGTGCCCAGAGAAGTTGTGTCTGCCCCTGGATCCCTGGAAGTGTCCAAGGCCAGGTTGGATGGGGCTTGGAGCAACCTGGGATAGTGGAAAGTGTTCCTAACCATGGCAGAGAGGTAAAACTGGTGAACTTAAGGTCCCTGCAAACCAAACCATTCTATGGTTCTATTGAAACCCCAAGGTTAAATAAAGTCCCTGTCCACGAGCGTGAGTGGAAGCCCCAGCTGAGACTGGCCAGACAATTAGTGCAGTTAGGGCCGTGACAGCTGTGGGAGAAAAAGATAGATTTGGGATGAAAAGGAAAATGCTAAATTTTTCAGGTGTTGGAGGTGAGGTTCACCTGGTAGCACCTGGTAAAGGACAGGATAATTAAATGTTAGTGGTTTTGGTTGTTTTTTTCATGTGTCACTGAAAGTCAGTGTCCTCTGCAGCTAGCACTTCCAGCTTCATGCTGTATAGGGACTAGAATTAAAAATATTCACATGGAAAAGTCATTGCAGTCATTGCAGACTTAAATTTGTGTTGGAGTTTTCACTGGAGGATACATCCCACTTGCACATTGAATCAGGCTTGTTAGGGTGATTTTAAATGGAAGAGAAAAGGGAAAACCATCCATTAAGGGATTCAATTTCATGCTAATTTGTACCTGCTGTTTTAATTAGAAGTTGTGTAGAGCATAAGTAGAATTTTGCCCATGAGTGCTTATGCGGAGGTCTGTGAGAACTACAGATCACTCTCAAAATGAGGTACTTGGAGCTGAGCCTGTGCAGTTTTAAGGCAGGTAGAGGTCATTTAATCCAGGCTTGGTGCTGTGCCTTGTTTCATTGCTGTCTCTGTGATAAACCACACAGTGGCCACAGAACTGACCTGCCAGTGGCTTGTTTGCAGTTAGACCAGCTCACTGGGCTGCGCAAGGGAGGTGGCAGAGCTGTGGTACACCGGATTTAGTCTGTTTTAAACACTGGGTTTGCACATCCTTTTGTTGTCATATGCTGCAGGCAGGTTCTCTGAGCCCTGTAGGCGCCGCTAATGAGTGCCAGTAGCTTTGGGCAAACCTTGTGTGAACCTAGCCCTGCTTGGGCTGGGCAGTCTCTCTTTGCAGTGCCAGTTGTCTGTCTCCAGTCTGTATGTGTGTGATATTAGCAGGGACAGTCCAGAACTAGGGGCTCAATCTGACATCAGGTGGTCCTGGACCCCAGGGAGGGCTAGGACAGGGCTGAAATGGGAAATAGGTTCTTGTGAGAGCTTGCTCTCATCTGTGCTTAAATTCTGATATTTTCTTCCTGTGACAACATCTGGGCAAGAAAGTGAAGATGTGATGAGTGCAGGCTGGTTTTTGTTGGGAAAGGAATGACATATCCTTCCCCTCTTCTCCTTAGCTGGTGTTTGAAATGTTTCTGGATAGCTCAGTTTTGAGCGCTGTCCCTTTGTATTCAGTTGAGCTTGCCACAATTTGCCCACAAAGCTCTATAATTTTATTATTCAGGGGTAAGATGCAAATGAAAATAAACTAGTCAGCTCACATCTTTGTTTCTGAAAACTGCATCCTGCCTTTAGTTTGCTCTTGAAGTCTAAAGGCTGAACCCCAATTGTGGAGATAAAACTCTGATGACCCTTGAAATGCGTGGGCCACAGTGTATCAAATGATGAATCATTAAAAAATATACACTAACAGGAAGGCAGGAAACCTGTATGAGTCTACAAACTTTGATTTTCTTTGAAGGAAAAAAAGCCAATGACTGGCTAGTTATTGACTTTCCTTTCCCTTGTATTTTGTGCACAGATTGATTCTCCATATGGCTTGTGATATAATGCTGCAGCGGATGACATGAAGCACAGGAGAGCAATTAGACTTCTCCACACTAAATTTATGTTTTTTCTATGTTTATAAATGTGCAGAAAGAGTAAAGGTGGTCTTACTTCTGTTTCAGATTTGCTTTATATAAATTTGAACTGAAAAAATATTTGCTTCCTTTTCCTCTCTCATTGAGATGTAGTGCTGTACCTTTGAGGGTTGATGTTCTTGTTACTGTGGGGAGATTTGAAAATCAGATGGAGGATCTTTTGGGGAATAATTCCTTCATATTACTGTGATTCGGAGATGCTTGGCCTGGGAAAATAACAGAGTAGCATTTGTCAGGCAAATGTCAGTTTGAAATATTTCATCACATTTTTACATCCTTTGAGTTGTGTCTTTGTGGGCTTGTTATTTAGCAGCTGGATTGACACAAAGGCTCAGACTGACCGGAGACAGGGATCACCTCCTCCTCGGGGCTGATGGCAGAAGACAGACACCGAAGGACATGAGGAGCTCTTCTGACTGAGTATCTCATGTGTGGAGTGGAACAGGAGGCTGTGCCTCAGCCACAATGAGTGTCCACCATCTGACAGCTCTCATGGATTTTTCTGAATTTTGCCACATCTGATGATGTGCCTTGAAGCCCCTGCTTCTAGAATTATGGAATCATAGTTCTTAAGGCCTTATATTTGTGAAGAGGAGAGAGAAAACCACTCAGTGACTCTGAAGACACAAACAATATTTGTTGGAGATCTATAACTATGTATCTGTTTGTTACTCCTGTTGTGCTTTGTATTTAAACAATGTAATGATTCCTGGAGACGTGAGCTTCAGGAAGCTGAGTGTTTGCTCATTTATGAAAGAAAATGGCCTTTGCTCTCCCATGAAGCAGGAGGGCATCTCTGCCTTGGCATACAGCACATGCTGTGCTTCAATCCTTGTTACAGGGACTGTGGCTGGGCTGATTGGTACCAGCCCTGGAGCTGGATCCTTCCTGATGCTCAAGGCCTCTGCTAGTTTTCTGTCATAAATGAAATGCTCACCTTAATGAACCAGAAAATGGACTTCGTATCAAATAAATGAAATTTCTCAAAGCTGGTAATTTTCAGTAGTGTTTGGGTTATTGGGAGATGAAAGAAAATAATTTGAAGAGTGGTGGCAAACCAGGCTAGTGTGCAGAGGTAAGAGGGAGTCTGAGGTCTGTTGCAAGGAGGACTCAGTGTTGTGATGTCTCCTGGCAACTGGTCCCCTCAGCTCCCCTGAGATCCTGCTCTTGCTGTCTGTGGAAAACACTCACCACCATTCCTGCCTGCTGGCCACCAGCACACACCTCCACAGCAGTCCACTGTGTGAACACCCTGCCACTTCATATTCCTGCATAATCCCTCTGACAACCAAATCTATTAAAAATTCATTTTCATCCAGGCAAATCAGACTCCCTCAAATCAATTGAGCTTTGTTCTCTGAGGGCAGCTTGTGCTGGTGCAAATATAATCAAATCCTGAGGTGCCTTGCATGCATTTTTACAAGCAGTGAGATGGAATTCATGTTTCAATTATTCTTTTTGATGTGCATTTTTAAAGGAAATTAGAATATTATGCTCAAGTAAACCAACAGTTTTAGATCTTTAGGAAGGAACTCCAAGTGAGCCAAATTCCTTTTCCCAGACAGTCCCAATTATGCAAGTACATACAAATATCTCTGTTTGCCACGCAGCATAAAAATAGGTAAGGAGGTGAAC